TGATCACTTGGTGATCGAAACACGTGCCGAGGTGTTAAAATAACGGTTTGGTGATCAAGAGGAAGATCAAACCTAACCTTGCTTTTGAAGATGATCGTTATTTCAACATCACGACATCTTCAAGAGAAAGATCAAGATTGATCTTTCTCTTGATCACCAAACCGTTATTTTAACACCTCGGCACGTGTTTCGATCACCAAGTGATCAAGAGGAAGATCAAACTTGATCTTCCTCTTGAAGATGATTGTTATTTTAACACCTCGATCACTTGGTCACAGTGATCACAGAACCGGAATTTGTTTTTGGTCCATCTGTGAACCAATAACTATCTGCTCTTAATATTTCCTCTGCATTAAATTGATTTGTGCAATTGGCAATGTACACAAATCTGTAAGCAGTCCATCTAGCCTCTTTCCATGGCCGCTGAAGGTGTGGTACGGATGGCACCACTAATTGCCAGACAAGCCTGTCTCTGTAAGTCAGAGTGCTTCGCTTGGGCCGTTTTCTGTGAAGCTTTCGGCCATCAGGCAATTGCACCATAAGTGATCATTGGTCTAACAATCAGCACATTATCCAATGGATTTGTTTGGGACCTAAACCCCAAGATTTACCACAAATCCTTCGACATGTCCATAGAGACAGTCTGGCTTTGTGTAAAACTTTTTCCAAGTGGGCGTTCCAGGCGAGTCTTTTATCAAGGATAATGCCAATATATTTTATTTCCGTTCCAAATAGAATGACCTCACCATTGAGGGAAAGTGGCGTTAGATCGTGGTGAAGGGGATTAACACAGTTTTATGCTCCTTCTATATCAAGAAATACAGCAGTTTTTTCAGCCGAATGGGACACCCACACCTCAGAGATTTGTCAGCTTTTGGTGACTTGTTCATTCAGAAATAGGTAGGAGGATGTGACCCTATTTGGTGGTCTCTGACTTGATTCCTCTTGACTATCATCTGTAGGCTGTTTGAAAAATGATATTTATATGCAGCGCTATGTTTATGTGAATAGCTTGCAACGGAGAGTACTATGCTGAAAAATATTAGAGAAGTTCAAAGAGTTGTGGTCCGATTAACTCGTTTGCAGCGCCCCCGCTTCAAAAGACAGCAACTTCCTTGCCTACTAGCTCAAGGTGACCAGGAATTCAAACCAAAAATAGTTGGGGAAGGTACAGTTTTTCAGGTAACATGTTGAACACCAGGAGTTCAATCACTGGTGAGAAACAAAAGCTGTGAATGGTCTAATTTTCCTCAAAAGATCCTCAGAGATGAACTGCTTGAGCTGGCATTTCTGACGCTAGGTCCTTCATTGGTAGGTGACAATTTAATTGAAAACATAACTCAGTGCGTCAATATTTCGTTAATGACTTGTACGAACATTAACAACTGAATGGCCAGCACAGTCACCTGATTTATTACCACTTGATTTCAGTTGAAAACTTTTCGAAAGTCAACTATACCAACTACAGAGCATGATCTCGATTATAAAATTTCTATGTACATAAATCGCAAATTTATTGAATGATTTTATGAAATTCCATAAACTATGTGTTGGCAGCCCTGGAAACGAAGGTATTAATTTAAAGTTCCGGGGATCGAAGGAGACTTTCAGTGACAAAAGCGTTGTTGATATATTTTACGCAGTTCAGTTGGTAAATATTTTCGAATAAAATTGTCAAAAAGGTATTGCAGTCTTACAGTTTAACCCAGTTTTCACGAATATAAAACTATGCAATGATTATACTGAATAATAGTGTGTCAGTAAACACGTTTTTTAATTGCACTCATTATAAGCTAGAATTTCTCGTTCTCTTTTCCTGTTCTGACTTCTGATCGTTTTGGTTTTGTAATTATTATTCGATAGAAAAAACTAGTAACAGGCGGTACTCAGTTTCAAATTCAAGTACGTCCTCGTATAATTGAAATATAATAGCCGTGGTAAGGTTACTTAACAGGTGATTTATTTTTACCACGCAGCAGAACCATGCTGAGATCATCTTCAGACTGGTTTCGATGTGTTACCTCCCATCAGTGCAGGGAAGATCCGACCCCAACAGCAAAGTGTCTAGGACTTGAAATATTTCAACAGCCCCATATCGTGAACAGAACCCCAAGTGGGGAAGAAACATCCCATGTATCAATATTTTAACAGAGATGTCTGCGAGAGGAACCTCTGTGATATAAAAAAATGCAAATTATTTTCTAAATTCGGCTATATCTGTAATAAAGGGCAGTAGTATTTTTATAAGTGGGTATAAGGAAAATCAGCAACGATGTTCAACTTATAATGAGTGTTTTTGCTGGTATTTTTTGGCAACACTGTTTTTGACAGATCACGCGTGAATCGTGTCTTGTGTCAATGTCAAACTTGTTCAGTTTGGTCTATAATTTAACCATGAATCGACCTACGAATGAACAACGCTTGCAAATTATTGAATTTTATTATCAAAATTCATGCTCGGTGAAGAAAGTGCATCGTGCATTTCTTCCGATTTATGGGCAGTTTCGTCAGCCTACTGAGGGAGCTATTCGGAATCTTGTGACTAAATTTCGAACCAGTTTTCATTATTGGACATTAAACCACCAACACGCATACGTAGACTGAGGACCGAAGAAAATATTGCGGCTGTATCCGCCAGTGTTCGTGATGACCGTGAAATGTCGATTCGTCGCCGTTCGCAGCAATTGGGCCTCTGTTACTCCACTACGTGGAAAATTTTGCGGAAGTATTTGGGTGTAAAACCTTATAAGCTACAGCTGGTGCAAGAATTGAAGCCACACGACCTCCCACAACGTCTAACATTTGGTGAATGGGCGCTGGCAAAGTTGGAGGAAGATCCACATTTTTATCGAAAAATTGTGTTCAGCAACGAGGCTCATTTCTGGTTGAACGAATACGTTAACAAGCAAAATTGCCACATTTGCAGTGAAGCCCAGCCACAAGCATTGCAAGAGCTACCGATGCATCCCAAAAAAGTCACTGTTTGGTGTGGATTATGGGTCGGTGGCATTATCGGGCCGTCCTTCTTCAAAGACGACAATGGCCGAAACGTTACTGTGAATGGCGAGCGCTACCGTGTGATGATTGACGACTTTTTGTTGCCCAAAATGAAAGAATTGGGGATGCCTGACATGTGGTTTCAACAAGACGGTGCCACATGCCACAAGGCACGCGAAACGATGGCCAATTAAGAGCCGCCTTCGGTGAACAGTTCATCTCTCGTTTGGGGCCCATCAATTGGCCGCCTAGATCGTGTGATTTAACGCCTATGGATTATTTCTTGTGGGGTCATGTTAAGGCTCATGTCTAAGGTATAAACCAGCAACGACTGCCGCTCTAGAAGCCAATATTGAAGCATTTATACGTGAAATACCGCTCGATATGTTAGAGAGAGTGTGTCAAAATTGGACCTTGCGCATGGGCCATCTAAAGCGACAAAATTTGCATGAAGTCATCTTCAAACATCAAGTTACATTGATCGTTCTATCCAATGAAGATTTCATCAATTTTTTCAAATTTTTGTGTTTTTTTGAAAATCAAATCCTATACCTCTTAAAAAATCACCTGTTATAAAATAAAACGGATGCTGCGGAAGGTTTTTGGCTCAAAACTTGTCTCTCTTACAAATATTTCGAAAAAATTAAGAAACGAAAACAGTTACAGTCCGCTTTCAACATCTGGAGAATAATGGAAACACTTTTGACACGTAATGACAAAAGCATTGACCGTCGATGCGTTTCGCTAAGCAAGTTAACATCATCAGGAGATTACTGAAACCATTGCCTTCGCCAACAAGGGTCATTAAATATATTCTTAGTACTAATTATTGTATTTTCGTTTTTAATTGTTACGTTAATGACTACTTGGTATGATTTCTCACATTTACTAGTTTTTTTACTTGTATGGAAAGCGCAATAAAACACAACGATATATGAAAACAGCTCACAGGGCTTTATTTTTGTTTTACCATTTCGCTCAGTTTCAATATGTCCGGTAGATGTCGCGTTGCGAATATTACAATATAAAATTGACCTAATTTTTTTAACAGACCCCGTATACCTAGAATAGTCGATATTACAGATTTCTTTTTTTCCTATAATACCACAAGCGCTCGCTTACTATTCAATTGTGACTTTTTGATAGGGACTGCATAAAATGGCATCTTTTTTGATTTTTTTTGTACCTTGGGAGCTGTCTGACTTGTCCATTTAATCCAAGTCTCCAGAAAACTCTGCAGTCTCTTGGACTTATTGCGTTCATTCTCTCATCTTCTCATGACACCCATTCCATCAGTCTCGTTCCCTGTACTAGTTTGTACAGGTTCCGTGTTAGATGTTCGTCATATTCTTCTGGACGTAATTTTGTACGTCCATATAATGCCTGCCTCCTGTGATTCAGTGCCTCACATTCTCATAAGATGTGTAGAGCTGTTTCTATCCCTTCGTTGCATAATCTGCAGCTGAGGTCTCCGTTGTACAGCCCCATTTCATTCAGGTGTTCTCTAAGCGGACAATGACCGGTTAGTAACCCTGTAATTATTTTGAGCCGATCCCTACTATATTTATTGAAGTAGTTCTTCGGTTTTCTTCTCGGACGGTTCCCTAATGAAGGTTCTACTGTGTTTGTTGCCAGGTTCTTTCGTCCAGTACTCTTCTTATTGGTCCATGTCCTAATCTGGTTTCGTATCAATGATTTTGGTACCCCCAGAGCTGGTTCAGGACCTATATATAAAGTTGATGATCCACGTCTAACGCATTCATCAGCTTTATCATTACCTGTGATTCCTGAATGCCCTGGCATGCAGTACAAAGTTAATTTTTTCCTGTTTGCAAGTTCATTCAGTTCTTCATGGCATTCCCAGACCAGTTTTGATGTCACCTTCAGGTTTGTCAGAGACCCTAGTGCGCTCTTGCTGTCTGTAAAAATATTGTTCCGCTCATTTCTTTGAGGTCTCAATTTAATAAGCCTTCCACACTGCAAGATAGCATACACTTCCGCCTGAAAGACGGATGTGTATAGTCTTAGCGGATAATTGGCGTGAAGTTATCCACAGATATCTGGCCACACATGCCGACGTAGAGGAAAATAAAATTCTGTGGTTGGAATACAAAATTATTAGCACCCGTACTAATATCTGTGGCTGGAAATACCTATTCACTATAGATTGAACGTGAAATTATTAAGACTATTTGGTGTAGATTGAGGCGTTGATAATCATTTTCTCATCAACAATACAGATTTAGGGAAAAATAAAATTGAAAATATTAGACTTACTTTCCAATACCCCATATAGAAATGANTAACAAGAAAACTGTTATCACCAAGTTAATCTTCTCAAGAAACTATGGAAGTTGTGTGATTTTGATGGACGCACATCATCGGATATCATTTCTATATGGGGTATTGGAAAGTAAGTCTAATATTTTCAATTTCATTTTTCCCTTAATCTGTATTGTTGATGAGAAAAGGATTATCAACGCCAAAATCTACTCAAGACTCTATAAAAATGTTAAACACCAAATATTCTCAATAATTTCACGTTCAACCTATAGTGAATAGGTATTTCCAGCCACAGATATTAGTACGGGTGCTAATAATTTTGTAACCCAACCACAGATTTTTATTTTCCTCTACGTCGGCATGTGTGACCAGAAATCTGTGGATAACTTCACGCCAATTAGCGGATAGCTGTAGTTTAGATTTCTATCCGCTCGATATATTCCAGCTCCCGTTCCATGTTTGGTCTTCGATCCACCTGCATACCAGGTGTTTTTTCCAAACATCATTTCGAGATGACTAATGGTCTTCCACTCTGCACGGCTTATGATTTTGGCCGTGAAGTTTGTGTTAATTAAATGAATACTTTTTCAAATGGATAAATACATGTAAAGTGAGTTCGAATTATATCAAGGAGGTTGCGTACAGCACCATCTGTCCGCGAATAGATCAAACAAACAAACATACATATATCAGATGAAGCTAATAAAAGCGTGATAGAAACGTTACGGTGATCAGCTAATAAACTCCGGACTCTATTTGCCCGGACTATAAATACCAAACGAAATTAATGACGGACTGACCTTGCGTTAGCGAATCAGCCTTGTCTTTGCTCACTGTTTTCGCGCCTTCTCTCAACAGCGAGGCCACGATGGCTCCCATGCGCGGAAACAGAATGCCTGAATTGAAAAACAGTCGCTGATTCACCACAGCTCTGGCTTCCGGGTTGGAGGGGTACAGGGAGTCGTCCTTGCCGTATTTTTCCGTCTGGAAAACAAATGAGAAAGGATTTAATGCACAAATTACAGAATCGCAACACTTTTCGTTTTGATTGACTTCATAAAAGTCCAAAGGCATCAAATCTGGTGATTTCGGTGGCGAATATATAAATACTAGCGATCCTCCCAGGCTTCGCACGGGTGCAATGCCGATTCTAAATAATAATTCACCCACGAGAAATTCATGGACACGGAGAGATGATGATGAAAAGGTAACTTCGTTTCATAAACGCGCCTTTTTCCCAGCGGCTGGCTCCCCAGTTGGAATATTCAAAAATCCTTTCTTATTGCACATCTACAACATAAAACGAACCTACAGTCGAAATTTCAGTCTTCGAAAATATAGTGGGACTGAGAAACAGTGATAAAAAGGTAATTTTCATATGTAAATGCCCCCTTTTAACCCCAGTGGAGAGCCCCAGTTAAAATATTTGAAAATGATTTTTTTTGCACACCTAAAACATAAAACGAACCTACAAACAAAATTTCACCCTCCGAAAATATAGTGGTACTAAGAAACAGTGATAAAATGGTAATTTTCATATGTAAATGCGCCCCTTTTATCCCCAGGGCGATCCCCAGTTGGAATATTAGAAAATCCTTTCTTTTTGCACATCTACAACATAAAACGAACCTACATACAAAATTTTACCCTCTGAAAATATAGTGGTACTGAGAAACAGTGATAAAAAGGTAATTTTCATATGAAAATGCGCCCCTTTTATCCCCAGGGCGATCCCCAGTTGGAATATTAGAAAATCCTTTCTTTTTGCACATCTACAACATAAAACGAACCTACATACAAAATTTTACCCTCTGAAAATATAGTGGTACTGAGAAACAGTGATAAAAAGGTAATTTTCATTTGTAAATGCCCCCCTTTAATCTCCAGTGGAGAGCCCCACTTGGAATATTTGAAAAAAAAATCTTTTTGCACCCCTTCAACATAAAACGAACCTACAGTCGAAATTTAAGTCATCGAAAATATAGTGGTACTGAGATACAGTGATAAAAATGTTTTTTTCATATGTAAATGCTCCCCTTTTAACCCCAGTGGAGAGCCCCAGTTGGAATATTTGAAAATCATTTCTTTTTGCACACCTAAAACATAAAACGAACCTACAAACAAAATTTCACCCTCTGAAAATATAGTGATACTGAGAAACAGTGATAAAAAGGATATTTTCATTTGTAAATGCGCCCCTTTCATCCCCAGGGGGATTCTCAGTTGGAATATTAGAAAATCCTTTCTTTTTGCACGTCTACAACATAAAACGAACCTACATACAAAATTTTACCCTCTGAAAATATAGTGGTACTGAAAAACAGTGATAAAAAGTTAACTTTCATATGTAAATGCGCCCCTTTTATCTCCAGGGCGATCCCCAGTTGAAATTTTGCGCATTCAAATGTGCAAAACTCTGTAAAGAGATCATTTTGAACCTAATTGATTTTTTTCTTGGTATTGTTTGTACAAAGTGCCAACGAGCTAATCTCTCCTAAAAAATATACCGTTTTCAATTCAATCAAAATGACATTCGTTTATCAATAGATTGTTGGGTGACGCTAATCGAGGGCGGCTGAGCATCTCCGCCCACCAAACAACTAGATTATCAATATAAAAATACACCTCACCAGAATTGAATGAAACACCAACCTACCAGATAAATATTTATCGCCGCGCTATCCCAAATAGCGAAATCCCCGTCTTCCAGCGTGGGGACCGTATGAAAGGGGTTCATCTTTAAATACTCCGGCTTCATGTGGTCCTGCTCCATCAGATTCACGGGCACCAGCTCCACGTCCACTCCAAGGGCTCTAATGGCCAACAAACTAGCCCTAACGGCGGGACTCAGGTCGGCGGAGTATAATTTCGGTGTCATTTTCAAAGTAGGCCGTGGAACGATTGACGCGCGGTTAGGTACGCTTTCGCTTGTCTCACCGGAACAACTGAACCTTGATGGCAGAGCTAACTGGTTTTTATGGAGATATCATTGGGTCGGTTTTGCCAGTCATTCCGCCTTGGGTGTTGTTCAAAGTCGATTTTTAATGGTGAGCAGGTTGCGGAATTCTGATTTGGAAGTTGTTTTTAGTCATTTCTGATGGCCCAGTCTGGGACGGCGTTGATTCATCGGTGAGAAATTTGGTGGGATATACCGAAGTGGAATATTTACAGGGAGATTAGTTGAGGAGGGGTGGAATATTCGTGGAAACATTCGGGGGTAGTGTCGATGAAATGATATTGGGTTTCAAACATTTTAAAACAGCAAAATTCAAATTTCCTAGTGAAGAAATCTGAACACAAAAGTACGAAATTCAAAACGTGAAATAGGTGAAGTCCCTCGATAATCTGATCTTATATAAGAAAAAAGTGAATGAGAAAACTTAGGGTGGCAGCAATTCCTCGAGTATGACTCCTGCGCCGCCGAACGAAGCTTNGCGTTCCAGGCGAGTCTTTTATCAAGGATAATGCCAATATATTTTATTTCCGTTCCAAATAGAATGACCTCACCATTGAGGGAAAGTGGCGTTAGATCGTGGTGAAGGGGATTAACACAGTTTTGCTGGGGTTGACAGACATCTTCTCCCTCAGGCACCAACTGTAACAACGTCCAACGCGCTTTGGAGGATATTACAACCTACCCTTCCCGACGTGGACCTCGCCAGGATGACAAGAGATAGTATCCTACCTTGAGGGCAGACCTTGGTGACCCTGAACCTAATGGCCTCGCCTTGAAGAGTCGTAGTTGCAGTTCTGTTTACTAGCGTGGCATAGATTCAGCCAGTTATGGTCGATTCTATACCCTTCCTAGCTAGAGACAATCCTATAGATTTAGGTAGTGCATTGTCGAATGCTCCTTCTATATCAAGAAATACAGCAGTTTTTTCAGCCGAATGGGACACCCACAACTTAGAGATTTGTCAGCTTCTGGTGACTTGTTCATTCAGAAATAGGTAGGAGGACGTGACCCAATTTGGTGGTCTCTGACTTGATTCCTCTTGACTATCATCTGTAGGCTGTTTGAAAAATAATATTTATATGCAGCGCTATGCTTATGTGAACACCAGAAGTTCAATCACTGGTGAGAAACAAAAGCTGTGAATGTGGCAATATCAGGTCTAATTTTCCTCAAAAGATCCTCAGAGATGAACTGCTTGAGCTGTCACTTCTGACGGTAGGTCCTTTATTAGTAGGTGACAATTTAATTGAATACATAAGTCAGTGTGTCAATATTTCGTTAATGACTTGTACGAACAGTAACAGCTGAATGGCCAGCAGAGTCACCTGATTTATTACCATTTGATTTCAGTTGAAAGCTTTTCGAAAGTCAACTATACCAACTCAAAGCGCCCTCTCCAAATGACTTACTACAGAGCATAACCTCGATTATATAATTTTTATGTACCTAAATCGCAAATCTATTGAATGATTTTATCAAATTCTAGAAACTATGTGTTAACAGCCCTGGAAACGAAGATATTATTTTATAAGTCGGGGATCGAAGGAGACTTGTAGTGACAAAAGCGTTGTTGATATTTTTACGCAGTTCAGTTGGTAAATATTTTCGAATAAAGTTGTCAAAAAGGTATTGCAGTCTTACAGTTTAACCCAGTTTTTACGAATATAAAACTATGCAATGATTATACTGAATAATAGTGTGTCAGTAGACACGTTTTTTAATTGCACTCATTATAAGCTAGAATTTCTCGTTCTCTTTTCCTGTTCTGACTTCTGATCGTTTTGGTTTTGTAATTATTATTCGTCGGTGCCTAGTCGTCTGAAGATGGTCGTTGAGAAAATTCGAAACGTCGGCGAGTTGTTGATATTTCCCTATTCGTTATTTTTTCGTGAATCGACGCTAATAATGGCTATGAACGAATTGTAGGAATTTTTTCTCATTTTGTATTTGATAGTTGTTTGTTTTCTGCTTTCTCGGGGATAAATGGATGTATTGAAATAAAAAAAAACTGTTTTCATCAACTTGAAAAAAATGATCTTATATGAGACATACAGGGTGTAACATAAGTACATTAAAATATTCAAGTGACGTATTCCTGAGAAAATTTCAAGAAAAAAAGTATATATGAACTTGTGTTCGAAAATGCTTCGTTTCAGAGATACGGGGTCTTGAAATTGAATTTATTTGTTCGCTTTTTGAAAATAATTCTTGCAAAAAATAAGTTATTTGCACGAAATTCGGTATCCGGGTTTTTTTTTGACGTGGGAAATCATAATTTCGTATTAATGTAACATCTGGAGGGCGCTGCGTACGCTATCATTATTTATTTCAAATTGCCCTAACTTTTTTGCCATTAAACTTTTGGTACTTTTCATGAAAAAACCTAATTCCCACACCTTTTCCAAGTAAAACAGGTACACCTCCTCAACAACGCTGGAGGTGATCGTTTACGAAATATTTACAATTTTCTATACAGCGTACGCGGCGCCTTCTAGATGTTACATGAAAATTAATAAGAAATTATGATTTCCCACGTCAAAAAAACCCCGGGTACCGAATTTCGTGCAAATAACTTACTTTTTGCATTTTCAAAAAGCGAACAAAAAAATTCAATTTCAACACCCCGTATCTCCGAAACGAAGCACGTCAAATGTAACTTATAATTTGACATTCTTCAACGTAAAAATGCAACCCTTACCTTCAACCCTCTTTCTCATGAAATAGGCAAGCTACTTCCTGTTGTGTTCGGGTTATTTTATGCATTTCTGTTTATCTAACCATTTGTCAGACTTGAAGTTAACAGATTTCAAATTTAAATCAACATACTGACAACTGATGTTGCAACATACAAAACAGGTTGGGGGTTGTACCTGTCATTTGACGGGTATTGAAGTTAGGGGTAGCATTTTTTCCTTGGAGTGTGTCAAATTATATATTAAATTCGACGTGTTTCGGGATTTTGTTGAAATATGAACCGTAACCGAAATAATGAATTTATTTCATATGGCTTTTACACACTGTATAGATTCAAAATGGTACGTGGTACATGTTAACGAGCAAATATTGAAAGAAAACATTCACTGACGTCTTTCAATCTATGACGTACAATGAATGCGTCTTTAGATTACGGTTCATAGCCAAAACATACCTCAGATATCTGCAAAGCAACGGAAGGATTACACTCCAATTACTGCCGCTCGATTCAGAACATTTTACTGTCACTAGTTTTGGTATACAATCAACATAAAAACCAATTAAAAAAACAATTGAAATGCACCAACTACAGTCATTTATCGTATACCATTAGCGAACGTTGTATATAGTAGATAACCACTATTTTCCTCAGTTTCGATATTGGAACCGTCTCTGGTGATACTATAGACATTGAGCTTTCCCTAATGGATGAACAAGAAAATGTTGACGATTGGTGAGTTATCTATAAAAAGCTATTTTCATGTTCAAGCTGTTCAAAAAATAAGGTGATTCCTAATTTTTTTCAACAAATATTTATTTATTCATTAATTTTTATTCTCCCCCATCAAAGTAATCCCCCTTAGATATAATAAACTTGTAAATGCTCGAAGCAATTTCGATATTCACTTTTTGATACGTCCTTGAGCTCTCTTAGCGATTCGGTTTTTGATCCACTAAATGGTCGCAAAAGTCATCCTTTCGTGGTTCTCTTCAATCTTAGGAACAGGAAAAAGTCGGAAGTGGTTAAATCGGCGAAAACCCTATGTTCTCTATGCATATTCTGTTTCATGAACGTTGTGTCAAAGTTACCCTTGATCCGTGTAAATATTTCACAGATGGTGGATGTTACAACCCTGGTTGTTATAAGAACAAATGTTCCTGTAAACGTAGTCAATAATACGTCATAAAGTCACTATATCATAATCCCCACACCAAAGTACTGAAAATGATGTATACTTTCGCTACTCATTCATAGATGGCGGTACTCACCACCGTTCATTTGTAACTCAAACTGTATATTTTGTTTTCTAGGACACTAACCGCACTGATTGGAGTTTTTTTTTTTTTCAGTGGCAACTACCTCGTGCGCGTGCGTGCACAGGTGATGTCAAGGGATGACAGCTCGGGCGGATGGGTGCCCCTGGGCGGCGGGGGCCTCAGCAACGTGTCGGTACGGAAAAGGCCGCGACAGTGTTCCTCGACGACGGGCACAGGGGGAACCGCTTCCGACCTCAACGCCAAGCCGAAACACGACTACTTGATATACGGGAAGAGAATCAGCGACAATTCGGTAAGTTTCGACGTTCCTATTTCTTGTTTATTATTTTTGAAAGAGCGGAATCAGAGAGAAGCGAGGAAGAATGGAGAAGAGAATAGAGAAAGGGGAAGAGGTGGGAGAGGTGATGAAGGTATAGAGAGGGAACTTATATTATAAGTTATTGATAATTAAATGATTTGTTGCACATTACAAACACCAACTACCATTGTATCAAGTAATGTTTGTACTTGTGGCACGCCCCTGGTATATCAATAACAATAAATAGACATTTCTAGAAGAACCCCGTTTATTCGACTATATACTTCAACAATACCCTAGTTTTATTATCAAATCAAGTGCCATTCACGACATCATACTCTTAATGGCCGCCGCTAACTTGTCAACGCCTTCTTGGTTGCCTTCAAAGTAATATGGTAACTCTTGCAACCTCTCTATCCACTTGATTATGTTCGGGTATCTGTTGGTCGCCAAAGGAACGACAGTGTTCATACTAGTCACTGTTGAGACGACACTGAAGTCTGCCAGGGAAAGCTCTTCTCCAGCGACGTACGTGCTGTTTTCTAGGAGGGTTTCCAGCAAGGTGTACACTGCAAAAATCATCAACTATTTGTGAATTACCAGAGGTTACTGACGTAGCAGAATGTGTGCCAGTAATATAAAAAAAAATTATGGATACGATCATATATATCAGATTTGCAAAAGCACAACATTCTTCCATACTTCTAGACATGCGGTATATTCCACAGTTGAGTTGAAGTTTATGTGAGGCTCAATAGTACAACACATTTACATGCTACCAGACATAGGGTTCACTCCACAACTGAGTTGAGGTTTATATAGTGCTCAATAGCACAGCACACCTCTAAAGGTGGGGCTCAATAGCACAGCATATGTAGGGTTCAATAGCACGGCATGTGTAAGGCTCAATAGCACGACTTACTTCCATACTACGGACTTGAGGTTCACTTCACAATTAAGATGAGGTTTATGTGAGGTCCAATAGCACAAATAGTGCTCAATAGTACAGCACACCTCTAAATGTGGGGTTCAATAGCACAGCATATTAGGGCTCAATAGCACAACATGTGTAAGGCTCAGTAGCACGACTCACTTCCATACTACCAGACATGAGGTTCACTCCACAATTAAGTTTAGGTTTATGTAGTGCTCAATAGCACAGCACACCTCTAAATGTGGAGCTCAATAGCACAACATGTGTAAGGCTCAGTAGCACGACTTACTTCCATACTACCAGACTTGAGGTTCACTACACAATTAAGATGAGGTTTATGTGAGGCCCATTAGCACAAATAGTGCTCAATAGCACATCACAGCTCAATAGCACAGCATATGTAGGGCTCAATAGTACAGCATATGTAGGGCTCAATAGCACAACATGTGTAAGGCTCAGTAGCACGACTTACTTCCATACTACGGACTTGAGGTTCACTTCACAATTAAGATGAGGTTTATGTGAGGTCCAATAGCACAAATAGTGCTCAATAGCACAGCACACCTCCAAATGTGGGGTTCAATAGCACAGCATATGTAGGGCTCAATAGCACAACATGTGTAAGGCTCAGTAGCACGACTCACTCCCATACTACTAGACATGAGGTTCACTCCACAATTAAGTTTAGGTTTATGTAGTGCTCAATAGCACAGCACACCTCTAAATATGGAGCTCAATAGCAAAACATGTGTAAGGCTCAGTAGCACGACTTACTTCCATACTACCAGACTTGAGGTTCACTACACAATTAAGATGAGGTTTATGTGAGGCCCATTAGCACAAATAGTGCTCAGCACAGCATATGTAGGGCTCAATAGTACAGCATATGTAGGGCTCAATAGCACAACATGTGTAAGGCTCAGTAGCACGACTTACTTCCATACTACCAGGCTTGAGGTTCATTCCACAATTAAGATGAGGTTTATGTGAGGTCCAATATTACAACTCACTTCCATACTTCCAGATATGGGGTTCACAATTTAAAAAAATCTGTTTAAAATCGGTTTTTCCGTTAATCAGCTGTTGCCACCATACGAACGACAACTCTCAGAAGTTGAGAAACTAACGAGGTGTTACCTTTTAACGTGTGATTCCTAACATTCAGTTTATGTTTATGTAGGGATCAATAGCACAACATGTGTAGGGTTGAAAACACGACTCACTTCCATACTACCAGACATGAGGTTCACTTCACAATTAAGTTGATGTTTATATAGGCATATATGTAGGTCTCAAGAGTACAACTCATTTCCATACTTCCAGACATGGGGTTCACTCCACAATTGAGTTGAGGTTTATGTAGGGCTCAATAGCACAACATCTGTAGAGCTCAGTAGCACGACTCACTTCCATATTAACAGACATGAGGTTCACTTCATAATTTAGTTATGTTTATGTAGGGCTCAATAGCACAGCACACCTCTAAATATGGAGCTCAATAGCAAAACATGTGTAAGGCTCAGTAGCACGACTTACTTCCATACTACCAGACTTGAGGTTCACTACACAATTAAGATGAGGTTTATGTGAGGCCCATTAGCACAAATAGTGCTCAATAGCACATCACAGCTCAATAGCACAGCATATGTAGGGCTCAATAGTACAGCATATGTAGGGCTCAATAGCACAACATGTGTAAGGCTCAGTAGTACGACTTACTTCCATACTACCAGGCTTGAGGTTCATTCCACAATTAAGATGAGGTTTATGTGAGGTCCAATAGCACAAATAGTGCTCAATAGCACAGCACACCTCTAAATATAGGGCTCAATAGTACAGCATATGTAGGGCTAAATAGCACAACATGTCTAAGCCTCAGTAGCACGACTTACTTCCATACTACCAGGCTTGAGGTTCATTCCACAATTAAGATGAGGTTTATGTGAGGTCCAATAGTACAACTCACTTCCATACTCCCAGATATGGGGTCCACAATTTAAAAAAAAACTGTTTAAAATCGGTTTTTCCGTTAATCAGCTGTTGCCACCATACGAACGACAACTCTCTATCTGTAGAGCTCAGTAGCACGACTCACTTCCATATTAACAGACATGAGGTTCACTTCATAATTTAGTTATGTTTATGTAGGGCTCAATAGTATAACTCATTTCCATACTTCCAGACAGGAGATTCACTCCACAATTACGTTGAGGTTTATGTGAGGCTCAATAGTACAACTCATTTCCATACTTCCAGACATGAGGTTCACTCCACAATTGAGTTGAGGTTTATGTAGGGCTCAATAGCACAACATATGTAGTGCTCAGTAGCACGACTCACTTCCATACTAACAGACATGAGGTTCACTTCACAATTTAGTTATGTTTATGTAGGGCTCAATAGTACAACTCATTTCCATACCTGCAGACAGGAGGACTCCACAATTGAGTTGAGGTTTATGTAGGGCTCAATAGTACAACTCATTTCCATACTTCCATATGAGGTTCGCTCCACAATTGAGTTGAGGTTTATGTAGGGCTCAATAGCACAACTTCAACAAAAGTAGGACTATATAGCACATCAGGATTCTGGGGTTCTGATACGATATGATCGAAGGTTTGAGAAGTTAGCGCGTCAAGAGGCAGTATTTTTGTTTTAATGTAATATGGATTTGATAAGATATGAGCGAGTTATGAAATTCTTCGATTTTAAAGTTTATGTGCTGATGAACTGAACAACTTTCACAATCAGACGCATGGAACAGTATTGTTGGAAGGGGTATCAGGAAAAGATAAATGAAGAAACGCAATAAACCCAAGAAGCTGCCCTGTTTACTGTAGCCTTGGAGGAATTGGCTACGTCAAAAGGTTTCCAAGCAGCAACATGGATAATATATTATCGAATTATAAGATTATTGGAGCAGAAACAGGAACAAAGAACTACGCATGGAACAAAGAAAGAATAGATTTTAGGGTTTTGATGAGATTTGATCGAAGGCTTGTGGAGTTAGCGCGTCTAGAAAATTGAACAGGTCAAAGACCTCATGAGCAGCATTAGAAACTTTCGATACTGGTTTCTGAAACACACATATTTTACTCGATTTTATCCTTTCAAAAAGTTTTTAAGGGCTCCGTATTACAAAACAAACTCACCCTCCGTTATCCTAGCGATGAAGTCCTTGCTGATCGTCTTGGCTCCGGCAAAGAACGCCCGGATGACCTCGATGAACTTCGGGAACAGCGTCCCGCAGTCGAAGTACATCCTTTGGTTGATGATTGCCCTCTTTTCGACGTCTTTGGGATAGAGGGCGCCTCCGTCTGCATACTTGTCTGCCAAGTAGGCGATGATGGCGTGGCTGTCGTAGATGACGAAGTCGCCGTCTTCCAGGGTGGGAATGGTGTGCAGCGGGTTCAGCTTCAGGTATTCGGGGGTGAGGTGTTGCTTAGCAGCTGGGCTGACCTGAGTGGGTGGGGGAGAAACAATAGAAAATGATTAGTTTGGAGGATACCCGTTGCTGTCAGCTATGTTTCTGGTATAACTTTATTTAATGAAAAGAAAAATAGGGGAACCACTCGAAATGAGTAAATATATGCTCTCGAAATTTCAACTGAATAGATAGATAGATAAACATATACTTCATTGTCCAAGAAAATTAAATCTTATTGACAAAGCTTGTTAATAAACCATGTATACAGTGTGTAACAACGAAAACTTAACAAAGCCGTTTTTGAATATAAAAAGTAAGATTTTAAAAAAAGCTCGTACACGTCAATTTCTAATTAAAGGGGGACACCTTTCTGACTAATCGGATTTTTTGTAGTACACACCCCCTCGGAGGAGTGCGTCCGACGACCCTTATTTAGATAGGGAAAGTAGGTCGAGTGGAACCTTGTTTTAAAGGTCTTTCGAATACCTTTACAACTCTGTTAAAAGAAAATTTTCGTAATGACTAGTTTTCGAGATAATTTGAAATTAAAATTGCCATGTTATTAATACATTAGACAGACCATTCGGTAACTTGTATGCCTAAATAAAAAAAAAATCGAGCAAATAAAATCCCTTTTTTTAAATCAATACCTACTCCTCTTCTTCCAGTTTTCATTAGTACATCGTTCGATTGTTTTGTTTAAACGGGTCGTGTATTGTTATTTGTTTAAAAATGCCTTACACTACTGCTGAAAGGGTTTCAGTTATTGCTTTATTTTTTGGCAACGACCAAAATGCTAATAGAACATCAATTTTATTTAACGAGCAAAACC